AACAGTTATTAGATTTAATATTATTAATAAGCTTTTTAATTTATTTTATAAAATATAATATATCAGAAATAATAATATAATCTATAATATCATATAAGACTTTAGTACAAATCTATAATAAGACTATTAGATATATAAAGTAAAAGAATTAAAAAGTTAGTAACCTATTTGGAAATTTCTAATTAAAAAGATAATATAAATTTTTAATAATACTATTAGATTAATAAAAATTTATAAAACATCTTTAAAAAAACAGATAAATAAATTAGATAACAAGATATATAAAAAAGCATATGACCAATTAGACTATTAAATTTATTAAAAAAAAAAATACTAAAATATACTATACTGGATTATTTAGATTAGAAATTTGAAAAATTCCATTAGTCCTAAGTAAATGTTAATAGAAAACAATAAAAAAATATTAGAAAGATAAGTACTAAGGTTTTAATAAACTTTATATAAGTAAAAATAGTATAATATAATAGTTTAATAGAAATATCTGTAATTACAAGCATTAGTCTAACTATAACATGTTGTATAAAACTAGATTAGCTGTATATAAAATATAGAAGATTTAGTAAGTTTTTTGTTAAAGATAAAGTAATTCTAAGAGTTTTGAATATATTAAATACTTTAAATAGATATAATCTTAAAAATATTACTATAATACAAGTTATAATTACATATACAAAGAGTTTAAATAAACAAAACTTATAGTTGACTTGCAAATATGATATCTAATATAGAATCTGTATAGTAATATATAAACAGACTATTTAAAATAAATATTAAAAATGTAAATGTGTCTAGTTTTAATCTCTTATATATAAATGCTTCTAAAAGCATTTGTGTCTAAAAGAACTTAAATAAAAATATTATTTTTCAAAAGCAAAAATTTTGACTAAAAAAAAAATGAATTATTGAAAATATATATATATTTTTTTAATATTAAAGTCTCTATCTTTAAGATGTGACATTTTTATTCAAGTATATAAGACATGATATGCCACTAGAGATTGCCTTACATTGGAGGTTACAATTAGTCACATATGCATTTTTGATGTTTAATTTTTTTTTTTTTTTTAAATATTAAGATGAGTACTTGTGACCCAGGATTTTATTGATAGTATATTTGGCTAATAGATGCTTTACAACTACAGAGAGCAATTATGAAGAGGATGTACAACTAGCCACTTATATAACTTTAATTATTGTCTAATTTAAGTAGTCTGCTCAAAGGTTCTATACTAGCTGCCATACTTGAAACCTATTTGTAGGTTTCTTATTTAACTACTCTGTTTCTGTATCCACCCATCTATCTCTGCCTACTAATCACCCCAGCCAATGCTGATAAAAATATGCCATGACCACTAAGTCTTTAAAACAGTTCACTCATATAAGGAACCTTTAGCCTTGTATTAAACCTTTCAGAATCTTCTGTATCCTATTCTTACAACTGACTTGATATTGCTATGATCAAGACCAATACTGACAGTTAGAGCATATTATTAAACTGCTATGTCTTTGTAGAGTTCACCTTAATCCTGGTACTAACTTCACAACATATCCTTACTACTTTGGTATTCAATTCAAGTTCTACCAAGCTGCTATTTCAGATAGCTCGAAAAGGTAGGACAAGACTATACCTTTAGTTTACATGTTTGCCAACATGTATCCTTTTTCTCTGAAACTTAAAAATTCCAGTGGCCTGGTTGGTTCATTCAGTTTCTCCTCAAAGACCAACACATTTGTTCAGTTTTACAAGTTCTAGTTCTGTTTTATAAGTCTAGTCTTTACAGTAGCACTGTCGAAGGTTCAGGTTACCTTTCTACTCAGATCTTCCAAGTAAGATTCTGTCTTTTTACCTAGTTTTTGTGATTTACATGGCCTAAGAACTTATCTTAAGTTTACACTACACGGTACTGGTTTGTGTTCCCTTGTACAATATTGTATAAGTACCTAGACCTTCCAGTCATGTTGGTATAATATAGGTTACAGATATCTTATTTTAACTAATCATAAAAGACAATTAGCTAAAACACAGAAAGATTGCAAATTTTTACTATTATTGGGATTTGAACTCTAGACCTGCCACTTGAGAGTTGACAATCTATCTACTTTACTAGGTTGCCACACCTCTGGGTGTCTAATTTAAGTAGTTCACTTATACATTACTATATATAAGTTCTATACTAGATGCTATACTTGCAAGCTAATTAGAGGTTTTGTTTATTTAAACCTCCTGTATATGCAATCTTTCTTGTATCACAAGAATATTTTTAAGGTTATACCTATTTAAATTTCTAATGCTAGTCGATATTTTTAGAACTATTTTATCCTTAATAGAAAACTTACTAGAGTCTTTATGTCTCATATATACTAATCTAGTTTTATGCAATATACTATAGTTATCTAATACTTGCAATTATAGGAATTATCTATTTAACTATTATATTACACTATTTTTATTTTTGTAAAGTTCACTAGAATCCTAGTACCTATCTTTTCAGCATTTTTATTATTATTTTCTACTAGCTGCAACTTGAAACTAACAGTCTTATGTTAGACTATCAATTTAAATAGCCTAGTATAATATATTTCTGTATCTTTTTTCTCTAACAAGTCTAACAACTTGGTTAGTTATGTGCTCCTTTATATATATTTGTTATCTGGTTTTAATCTTCAGTTTCTATAAAAGTGTTTTATAAGCTTCAACTTGTCTAATGGTACTATTAAAAATTCATACTATTTCTTTATTAAAAAGTTTCTAAATAAGTTTCTATTATCTTAGTTCTTTAGTCTTTTATATCTAGTAATCTTATTGTAGATTTATACTAAAATTTTATATAATACCAGTTATACATTTTTCTATGTATATATAATGTTACACTTCATATAGATGTTCCAAGTTCCTAATGTTAATAGGACCCAACTTGGTGTACCTGGATTACAGCTACATAAGGCCAACCAATCAACAAGAAACAGTTATCATAATGCAAATATATAATTTTCAAATTTCATCATAGGTGGGATTTGAACCTTAGACCTGTCACTTGGAGAATGACAACCTAACCACTGTACTAGGATCACCATCCTTATTATTGAAAATATTTACAATTATTTAAATTTATTATATTTAACAAATATAATTAATTGCCAAAATATTACATTAATATAATTAAATTAAAGTTAACATAGATTGATCAATAGTTAAACTTAGTATTGATCAAATTGATCAAATAATATATATATAAAGTATATATATTTATTTATTTATTTAATATGTTAGACTATTTGACTGATTTAATCAGACCAGTTTGACCAACAAATTTTTGATTGATAAGTAATTTGACCAGCTCTGAATTAAATATTATATCAATATAATTTTTAATATATTTTTTTACTTCTGTCTAAAAGTAGTTAGAAAACAATTAGCTAGCATTTAAAGAAATTTCTATTGATCAATTGGCGTTACACGGAACCTTGTCAGAAAGTCGGCCTACATTATACTCTAACGCTGGCCAATTTCGGGCCAAACTAGATGTACTTTCAAAAATCAACAGCTCCGAATTTAGAGTTATTAACTATACCGTTCTAACTTTTTATAGCATTGATGATTATATGCCAACTACATTCATGCTTATAATAAACCATTTCTAATAAAACTTCGAACCTTTAGGTTAAGGGCAGGATCTATCAAAGAAGATCTTGTATATGACATAGTATTCAAAGATTTAATAAATTTTTATTCTGACCCGGGTTTGACGGGTAATCTTTGTACCCGGGTAGACCTGCCTGTCTACCCGTCGGGTAACCCGGGTTGTACTTTTTAAGACGAGTTCAATCACTGATTCATAACGATAATATTCTCTGAACGATACAACAATGTAACACATTCAAAGTTAGTTTTCGCTTAAATGTATGCCAGTATGTTTAGTGTGTTTAGCCCATACGAGAATTTATGGCGAAGATTGTTCTTGTCAACTAGTAGATCTTAATAAAAACATAAAAGTTTCTGAATACATATAAGATTAGCTTTCATAATAAATCATTACACAAGTAAAAAAAAGTTTGATATGATCGAGAATTTATTGATTGGATTAAAAAAATATAACTCGAGTTGTAATTTCATTTTATTAACATCATGAAATAATAATTTGACGCATAATATCCTATTATTACGTAATCGTTCATTACCGAAATAATCATTCTGTCAATTTTTCACCTGATCCAAAATTTGCTGTAATTCATTTTACATGGTTACCCAAGTAATTATTTGCATCAAGGTAGATCAAAACGTAAATTTCATTCAATTCTAACAATGGATTACCTGTTAATATGTACAACATAGTCCTATAATCATGTGAAAATTTAATCTAGCTGATTAATCTAATAATTCAGATTCATAAACGATAAAAGGATTTTCTATAAAACAAACAATAAATTACGTACGTATATGTAAGCACATAAATTTGATTATGTCGACATATAATAAATTTATTAATAAATTATTAAAGATTACATTTTAGAATGGATCCAATTATGCGATGATCTTTCTATTCATGAAGTATATATATATATTTTAACCATATATAATGATGATGCATCCCAACTCTCCAACTCAAGTACAAAATGACTTCCTACATTAAAATCCCATCGCATCTAACTCCTTCAGATCCTCAAGGATCTGAATCATTAGCGATAGAAAGATCTAAAGCAACGTTCGATGTTAAAGAATTAACATTGGCATTGTATGGAGCCGATGAGTTATCTAGAAGAAATAAGGTATTAAAGGTTTTGGAGAGCGATCCTACTTTTGATAAAAGTAATATTTATTATATGGGAAGAACCGAATTGTATGAATATGCTTTAAAGAGAGATAAAAAAATAGTTAAATTATTTGTGTAAGTTTTCGTTTCTTTATTTTTGTGAGAACGAATTGGTATTAACTAATTTGTTTTAAACTTATAGGACCAATAAATGGAGTCCAGAGGAATATCAAATAGCTCTCCGGTTTCTTGATTTGCCTGGACCTGTAAATATTCATAATCCTCGCAATTTGTCATAATAATAATCTTTTTTTTGAACTTTTTATTCACACATCTTTTCAATTAAATAACCAAGTATCAAGTTCATCGAAGTATGTTCATCCCGACCATAATGGGTCAGGGGACCGAAGAACAAAAAAGAAAATTTCTTAAACCAGCAATAAGACACGAAATAATTGGATGTTATGCGCAAACTGAGTTAGGTCATGGATCAAATGTTCAAGGGCTAGAAACTACGGCTACTTATATTCCTGAAACGGATGAATTTGTGTTACATTCTCCTCATTTGACTTCTGCAAAATGGTGGGCTGGTGGGCTGGGAAGAGCTGCGTACGTGTTAAAACGAATATATTAATTTTATTTTTAACATTATTTTTAAAATTTTTTGAGCCTTTTCGAAAAATTTATTTTCTAGTAATCATGCGATTGTGATGGCAAGATTGATAACTAACGGAAAAGACAAAGGTCCACATCCATTCATTGTACAGATTCGAGATCTAACAACTCATGAACCGTTACCAGGAATTATTATTGGAGATATTGGACCAAAGTTCGGGTAAACTATTATTAAAATTATCATATCTTTTAAATGTTTCTACATATTTACATTATAAAATTTTTAGATATAATTCGATAGACAACGGGTTTATGCTATTCGATCATGTGCGAATTCCGAGATCAAACATGTTTTCCAAATTTTCACAAGTCACTAAGGGTACCGGAGAATATATAAAACCTCCAAACGAAAAATTATCATATGGTACCATGGTTTATGTACGTACAATTATCGTATTAGGTGCAGGGTTTGCGCTTGCACGTGCTGCTACTATTGCTGTCCGATATTCGGCTGTGAGAAGACAGTTTGTTGATAAGGAAAATCCAAAAACATTGTCAAATGGGTTAGCATTTAGTTATTGTTATTTTTTATTCTTTAAATGTTTGTTCGCTAATTCACCCCATGTTTGATTGGATGTCGACAGTCGAATAGTAGAAACTCCCGTTCTAGATTATACAATGCAACAATACAGGTTATTCTCTGTGATCGCGCAAGCCTACGCTGTTTATTTTACTGGTGAAATTACCTTTAATTTGTACAAGAAATACGTGGAGCAAAGTTCTAGCGGTGATTTTTCATTGCTCGCTCATTTACACGCATCCACCAGTGGTCTAAAATCATTAACTACTGCAATGGCCGTGGATTCAATCGAAGATTGCCGAAGATCATGCGGTGGTCATGGATACTCAGATTTCAGTGGATTTACTATGTTTTATCAGAATTATTTACCAAATACTACTTGGGAAGGTGATAATTATCTCTTAACTCAACAAACCGCTCGTTATGTGAGTTTCAAACAGGTTTAATTGTTTATATTAATACACTTTCAAGTACATAAAAATATTCATTTTATTATTATGTTAGCTTTTTAAAACATATCGCGAAGTCATTCACAGTAAACAACAAAATAAAATTTTCACTTTACAATCAAACACAAATCCAACGATCTACTATATGTCCCAATATCTAAGTAACCCAAATCAGAAATGTACTATCACTTCTCCATCAGATTTTATGAATCCTGAAGTTCAACTCGCAATCTATGGCTACCGAGCAGCCCATCTAATCGCTCAAGCAGTTGACCAGATTGACAACCACCAAAGAAGTTGGAATTCAATGCTCGTGGAAATCAGTCGAATTTCACGTGCTCATTGTCAATATATATTGGTCCAAAACTTTATACTCACCCTACATCCTCAATCATCAGATTCAATTAACGAAAAAAGACGCATTTTGCATAATAGTCCAAGCTTAAAAAAAGTCTTAACATCAGTTTGTAATTTGTTTGCATTACATACTATAGAAAAGGATCTTTCTGAATTCTTGGAATCAGAATATTTGTCACCAAAACAAGCGGGAATGCTAAGAGTCCAAGTTTCTGAATTGATAAATGAAATTAGACCAAATGCTGTTGCATTAGTTGATGCTTTTGACTTACCTGATTATTTACTGCATTCAGCATTAGGAAGGTATGATGGAAAAGTTTACGAAACTATGATTGACTGGGCATCGAAAGAGCCATTGAATGGTATCACATTTGATAGTAGTCCTTATAGCGAGGATTTGTTTAAGAAAAAGGTTAAATCTAAAATTTGATTTATCATTTTAAATTTAATCATCATCACGAACGTTAATATCAATTGTTAGTGTTATAATAGTAAATATGACAATATTTATGATTATTTATGATTATGATTATTTTTTTTACTTTAACTTTAGCTACTACAAATATAAAGGTATTTATGTGCTTTATATGAATAAAAGAATACGAGCTGGTTATTACAAATCACACTTAAAGGTGTTATCAAGAAAAAAAATCTTTAGAAAGTCATGTTTCATAAGTTCCGTCTCTATCAAATTTATAAATTGTGCGATACGAAAGTACCTGAAACATTTGTCTCAAATTTGAATATAAGCTTTACATGTATATTCGTGTATTTCTAAATATGAAGTGAGCATTAAAGTGAATTTACTATAGTGTACTGACTCATTCAGTATTTTCGATTGATAGTATTTAAAGCGAACGGGGTTTTTCTCAAACATAATAATTTCTGTTTTGCTAGCCTTTGTTTTTTCGTTTCATACCTACTAGATCTATTAGAAATATCCATTAAGAAGAAGGTTATGAACTCAGATGGAGGGATGGCTTTTTAGATTATTAAGCGCTAGTTAGATTAGTTTAGCAACTAGAAAAAGAAATTTCTTGATGTAACAATTACCCGATGCTCACAAAAAATAGCATCATTAGTTCAATTGCATATTTGCACGAAAAATGGAAGAGACAAAAAAACGCGTTTTATCGATTTAACATTAAAATAAAATCTTTAAAATTGCACATAATGATGCTGCAAAACGTGAACCACTGACAGATATTTTTTTTAAAAAAAAATGTTGATTGTACAAAAAATAGGTATGTTTATTTATCTATTTGATTTGTATATATGCATATATGATACTCCTAGATTAAAAAAAAAGAGTAAAAAAAAAAACATTGCGATTCAAAAATGCCATAGCTTCTAATTTACATAATCCTTTCTCTTCTCAAAAATAATACTAGTTTTTATCGGTCTAGGAATAGGTCCAAGATATTTCTTAATAGGTATATCCTCTCCCGTTTCAGTTCTGACATCATATTTCAATAAAACCTTATGTAAAAATATTTTAATCTCATTAACAGCTAAAGCTCTACCCGGGCACGCATGTTTTCCACCTCCAAACACCAAAAAATTACGTTCGAGTCTTGTCGCGGGAGAATTACGTTCCAAATGACGGTTTGCATGGAATTCTTCAGGATTTTGACCTTGAAGTTCCACATCTCTATTTGTGTCAATAATGTTTAAAATGGCTATGCGACCTATGATTAAAAAAAGGTATTAGAATTATTATTATTTGAATATTAAAAGGATAATAATGAAAAAATTACCTCTTGGGATTTGATATCCATTCTCAAATGTATAATAAGATTCAGAAATACATTTATGCGGCAAAGCGACTATGCCATTAGATAATCTTAAAGATTCTTTAACAAAGCTATCCAATTTCACCATTTTAGCAATGTCATCAGATGTAAGCTCGTTTCCATTACATTGTTTATTAATTTCTTGAGCTTCCTGCCGTAATACTTGCCAGTATTCTTTTTTCTTATCAATCAAATCTAATTTTCAAATGAAACATATTTAAAATAGAGCTAAAGTACTTTATAATGAAAAACAAAAATATAGCTAACCATATAAAGCACGGGTAGCACCACCAGATGTAGTTCCCATAGAAACAAAAACAAGTCTTCCGATCGCTTCGGCAATATAATTATAATTTACATTATTTGGGTCGAGATCTGGGGCTAGTTCGGGATCATCTAAATAGTATTGCAATGCATCTGACTGTTTTTATTTTATTATAATTATTATTTTTTTTTTTAAAAAAAAAAAAGCAATTATTTAAATATTCATGAAATAATAATTTTTTGGTATTTTTTTACAACTTACAGGAGCAACCCAAGCATCACCTAATTTCTTTTTATCATAAAGACGTTTTTCGACGACTGGCCTAATACGATTAATGATTATATTTCTATGTTTTGACATAGGATTCCAACCAAACTTAAAAGGAATTCTATTGGACAATAAAGAAATAAGTAAAATATTATTTCTATGTGAAGTAACAAATTCTAAATTTTTTAAAGATTTATCTTTTTTTTCATAAAAAAGAAAAGATAAAATTAAATAGAATGAACCTACGTGATAAATTGTTGATGAAGTAGGGGATGTATAAAAGATAATATTGGTGGTATCAAAAAAAGCTTTACAATTGCATTTGTTAATGTTCTAAAAGTTTCTAACAGATCCTCATGTTCGTAACATTCCTAATTTTATTGAGAGTTAATATTGTCGCAAGAAAAAATTCTTCCATAAAAAAAATAATACATATACATACATCACCAACGATAATGTTAGCAACTGGAATTGAGACAATCTGTGACAAAGTTTTATGTGGATCACGAATAACTTTCGGCTCTAATAATAAATAAAATGCCTTTTTAAATATCATAAAAATTCATATTTTAAAAAACTTTAAAACTTACCATCACATTCACCAATGTAAAGATCCATAGCCTTATCAATATTTTTTTGTAACCGACTCGTAAGATATTTTAATTTTCCTATTATAAACTCTCTTATTATTCTACCATTTTTCTCAATACTTGTGGCATAACTAAATATGTGCTGAAAGGGCAATTGCTGTTTAAAATTGAAAGGATTGTTTAGAATATATAATAATATATTCGAAAAACTATTGAATTCGTTAAAGACTTTTCAATTACCATTTTTATACCTTCGCGAAAACAAAATTCTTGATCTTTTTTAAATATTTCATGAGTTGATTCCTTTCCGACCACAGTCATTATTTGACCAAATACATATAATGAGAATGTCTCTCCATACTGTTAAGAGATCATGAATTATTAGAACGCGAAAGAAGGAAGCCTATTTTGATTTATTTAAAAAGAAAAGGAAAAGAGAACCTTTTTTCGAGATTCTAAAATTAAATTTTCGCAATCCGTTAAAAATCTCCATGTATGTCCGATAATTGGAGTTCGATAATGAACAAGAGGTGGTTCATTCTAAGACAATTAGCTTTATATTAATAACACCATTATATGAACAAATATTAATGTGGGAAAAAACTTACTAGTTTAACCCGTCTCGATAGTCGGAAATAAACTGCTGCTAAAATTAATCCTATGATAAAGGATTGAATATAGATGTCTTGTGTGAATTTAATCATTGTTCAGTTTTTTTTGATCTATTATCTTGTGTTAACTTGGATGATGCTCTTAAATAATTTTTCGGCACCATATAGCGATTGACTGGAGAACAAATTCCTTGATCAAAATAAGTAAATTACTGCGGCCGCACAGATAACCATATGTCCGAACATATATACATTTCAGGAAATATTGTTTCATCTATGTACATAATCATCAATCATCATTAATTTTATTTATAATAAAAACAATTGTTCATAATGATAAGCTATAAATAGTTCTCTCTTGGAAATGTCTTCATTAACGCTAAGGTATATTTGCAGTGTGTGTGATCACGCTATAAATAGTTCTCTCTTGGAAATGTCTTCATTAACGCTAAGGTATATTTGCAGTGTGTGTGATCACGTCTAAGTCCAGACCAACCTGATTCCTTGTTAACGTAAGACAATTTGTGTAAATGCATTAAAAATACTGATTTTATTGGTTCACAACCAATATTAGTATGGCTGTATATACGAATCCCTAAGTAAATTGAGTCAATCCGATTCAACTTGACTTGAGCCGAATCTTCTCCCGAATCACGAGCACCTTATCAGAAGTGTTGATGCAAATATTAAACTTAGGCGAATTGATAGCACTTGCTTAACGTGACTAGATCTCCGTCTACTTCTCAGAAAGACCATTATTATTACGCAGTGCATTATCGAAATAATCCCTTGTTTCATATTCAAAATCTTATTCAAAATCTTTCTATTCTTACTTCTGTCTCCTAAAAATGCATGTAATTGTATGTCATGATAGCAATGACCATACTGTGTTATCGGATAATCCGTTATGCATAAATACTACGTAATCAAGTTTTATATTATATTGTATCACAAAAAAAATCGCAAGTAACGATAATTTACTTTAATTAGGAAATTAAGCCTACTTGATTTCCGATGCTAATAACGTAACGATTGGCTAAAATTGAAACGAAGGTATATTTGTTAACAATCATCTTGCCTAAAAATAGGTAAATTTAATGCGCAGCCTTCAAAGTATTACGGAACAATAGAATAACAAAATTTATTCCATCCCGAAATTCTGCCAATGACACTTCCGCGCAGTATACAAAATTTTAAAAACATGTTATATATTTTGTATTTGGATGTTCTTATGATTCTAAAAAAACAGTAATCAGTTTTAGGGTGGTATAAATATCTTGCCTCAATACCTTTATTCGGTCTTTTAAGCCTAAAGACCCTTTTTGAGGTTTAGGCTTAATGATAATAGTGTCAAAGATTTACGATACCTCTCTGCTCAAGATTTGCAAGCAGATTTTTATCTTATTCAGTTTTTTAGATTTCAAAAATACAAATTTTCAGTAAGTTAAGAATATTTGGGCAAGAAAATATACATACTAATCAAACAGATCAATTATAAGTTACCTATATGAAAAAATTATAATAATTTTTTTACTAATAAATATAAATATTTACTATATATCAAGTTATCAAAACTTATGAATTCTTTAAAAATTATTTGATATAATAAACTATTATATCAAAAAATTACCTGAATTGAGTTTAAAGTTAACATAAATCTAACTCAAGTAAAATTGATTGTATTTTGTATCTATAGGTTTATATAATATACTTTATTATTATAAAATTATATATTTTATAAAATTAAGTAAATGCTACAATAATTTTAATTTGACTCAAATTAATCTTTGGTTGGGTCACTGGAATTGACAACCCCCTAGAATCACTATAATGAACATTAAAAATTTTTTGAGAACACTAATAATTTAAATTAAGCTTTTTTAAATTTAACACTGCTTATATCATATATACTTCTAACACTAATTTGTGATGATTGGAAAAATTATAAAAATAGAGAATCAGCTGTTTCGTCTAAAACTGAATTGTATATTAGAAACACAAGTCCAAATTATTTTATACATTACTTATACCACACATACTCCTAAAACTGACTCGTGGCGATTGAAAAAATCGAAAAAATGAAGAATCATCTGTCTCCGTATTTCGCACGGATCTTATTACCAAAAACCATATCAATTGACTAATTGTTGCATAATATGCTGTGATAAACCAAACGATTACAAAATTAGTTGTACTCATTAAACATTCAGTGCCGTCTGAGAAGGGATCGCAATCGAAGGGACTGGTTCTATACGATTCTTGTTTTAGGTAGTAGGTGTATGCGCCTGGTTAATTAAAAAAATGAAAAACTTTAGAATCGAATGATGAGGAATTCTAATTTTTTAACATCAAAAAAGTTTAAGAGTGAATCAAAAAATCATTAAGCTAGAATTTTGTTAAGAGTCTCAAAAATAAATATCATAGTTGATGCAGAAATTTGGACATATTTTAAATTTATGCATCACATCAAGATAAAATTTGCTGGAAGCTTTTCTCTAGAGTTACGGCTAGTATTTGAGGTTATTAATAAAAGAGAATGATAGGTTGATATTCAAATAGATACTCAAATTTCAGCATCACCCGCAACAATAAATATCTTGATTAATATTGTTAACTTACATGCAATGACTAGTAGCAGTGAACCTTTGATTCTAATTATATCATGAATATATAAATAAATAAATAAGAATTTAGAATGACAGAACATAAATAAAACATAAACTATGGAAGAAAAACTAACATGTCAATTTTATAATATTTTAACAGCCTTTCTCGATCTCTTGTTATTAGATGTATTCCTAACAAAAGAACTGTTTAAAGAATATTTTATTCAAATTTATAAATCAAATTGGGCAAAATCGAAAATAAATAATAATACACTACGGTCGACTATTGACGAAAGCGACAATAAAAACATGTAGCTAAAGTAAGGAAAAAAACATGTAAGCAAAATAAGGACATTAAAGGATGAACGGTTGAAACATAGGAATGTAAAAATTATAAATCATTACATCAATTCAATGCCGTCGATTGCATCATTGCTAGAAAGTGTGCTGTAAAACACGATGAACTTTAAAATCACTGAATTCAAAAAAGAAAAAAAATAGAATAAATAAAAATCAATTAATAAATTAATAAAATTCTGCTGATAAGTTTGAATAATCAATTACCAAAAAAAATAGCAAACGCATGTAAAACAAGTGCTATGTATCTTGGAATTAATAACTTTCTAATTGATTTATCATGATCCATAGAGATAACGTTGAAAAGTCGTCAAGAATGGTTCGTTTATGCATTTATTTCCAAGATTAGTATCACAATTTTCGGTTATTCTATTACTCGTGAAAGGCATGTGTCAAATTTGACGCAAATCACATCATTTTATAATCTGGTTACAAAAGTTCGGAACATTGACCATATATAATATTAGATCTCATCAAATGCTAACTCACTAAGGAAACCTAAAAATAAGCTTTAAATTATCAAGGTTTGATAAATAGATTCATCCAATGATAAAATCACCTTAAAGCAGGAAGGTTTAAATGGTACACTCGTAGTATATTAGTTATGTTCTAGAGTTTGGGATCAGTTTTATTTTCATGCGTTAAAATCAGGTTTAATCTTTTTAACACATCAATATGAAAAATAAACCCGATTTTAAAACTCCAGTTTTGATTTTTTTTTAATTTGATACAAGCCATATATTTTATAAAATTTCTGGTCACTAGCGCTATAATTAGGGAACGAGAAATTTTGGGCGTGCCTTTAGCTGTTAGGTAAAATCTATAGGTTTCGCCATTGGCAAAAGATAAAACCTGATTTTGACTTTCAACATAAAGAAATGTTAAAAGACGAAATGATGAAATAGGCAATAGGTGATGATAGATGGTAAACTATCAAGGTAGTGATTCAAATCATTAGTTGAAAAACCAACTAGTTGACAACTTTCCAACTAATCGATTAAATCAACTAGTTAAATTCCGATATATTCCGCCTACGTATTCGGTTGGTCCGTGTTGATTTCTTTAGTTTGATTGGCCAATCAACAAATTTAGTCACATGATAGGAAAAATTGATTAGTTGCAACTAGGGATGTTAAAAGTGGGCTGATCCGGATCATGGAATCAAGACCAATGATTCTGAACCGTGATCTTATTACTATATATAGATATCCGTACCTCATTTATTATTTTTTTATGGGTGCTAAGGTGACTTTTTTGGTTTTTTGACTTTTTATTAACACTTTTTTTAGTAATGTGATTTTATGAATCATTACAAAAAGAGTGTACAATTGGTTATATATATAACTTTTCTATATTACCTATTTAAGAAATCTACTTGAAAGTTCTCATCAATTGCTATACCTAATATCCTTACTTGGGTGTTCTATTTTAAACCTTCTGAACTTGCATTTATGTTAACATTATTAGAATATGTTTAGATTATTGTCTTAACTTTAGAAGTATTTTATTCTTGAGATAAATTTTCTAAAACCTTCTATACCTATTTTTATAACTGACTTGATATTACTATAACAGAACTAATACTTATAATTAGAACTAGTTATTAAATTATTATGTTTTTGTAGAGTTTACTTAAACCTTAGTATCTATTTCACAATATATTTTAATTACTTTAGTATATTTCTGTTTGTTTTTTAGACTTTAATTTAGATAGTTTAGTCAGATTATAATTAGTCTATTAGTATATATATATATATTTTTTTGTTAAAGGTTATACTTGTAGTGATACTTTATTGACTTTATATCAGGTTAGCTATTACAACTATTTTTACAGAGATAAGAGTATAGCTAGTTATGCATGCAACTTTTGGTTGTCTATTTAAGTATTCCGTCCTAAGGTTCTACACTAGATACTGTACCTATAACCAGTATTATATATTGGACATGTCCACATTATGTAAAATGTCCAACGTCTAAGATTGTCCAAAATCATTCAAGTTTATGTCCAAAGTTTAAATAATCAATAAAGTATATTAAAAATATATATAATTATATATTTTTTTAGATACTGGATTCATTTATGAAAAAATTAAAATATATTATCTTAATAAAATTTTAAGTAATTTTAAT